TTCAATGGTTGATGCTTGCGAATTAGCCATGGTGAGCGGAGATTTGAATGCGAAAGTCGGATGTGGGTAATAGCACGCAATAGAGTTCGTCGTCCGTAACCACCCGTGGTGCTGTGGATTGTGGAGTCGCGTGCCCCAATTCTCGGAAGATGGTAGGAACTGGGCGCGAAGCCCTAGGCGGCTGCCTTACCCAAGCCATCAAGCTTTCCCCACACCACGCGGGTGATCCACCAGCCACTGTAGTCGCATCTGCAGCTGCAGGTATAGAGTCTGGGACCTCCGATATATGGAAGGAGTGGTCAAACGTGAACTGAATCAGATGGAATTATGTCGACACCCGGACCGGATCTCACGGCCACCAGTAGACAGTGAGTTATTTTAAAGAGACAGTCCGGCCTGTCACAGACATGGGGCGAGAGCAATCGGATGTTGCATGCGCTTCCCCTGGCACCATGCCACCAACGGTCCGTTAGCGAACAGTCAGGGGTGCACATTCTGCGTAAAAAAAAGTTGCCCTCAGCGGCTCCGTTGTGCGGTACAAAGACACACCGCTCATACTGATTAGCAATTCGTCGGGTCGCGGTGTACGTCCATGGAGCCGGTGCGGACCCGCGAGAGCAGACGGAGGTGTTGATCTGGCTAATGTCCATGGCGCTATTGACCTGAGTCTTGCATCCAAGGTACCCTTCGTACAGTGCTGTGGCGAAAGGACACGAGACAACTCCCGTAAGATCAACACGATTAATAATTAAGCACGCTGTTGCAACGCGGCGCTGCGCATTGACTGTGACTGCGGGAATAAAATGCCTCGATGCCTGACAAGACGTGTATTGGGCTATGCGAACTTTGGAAGGCCGTCGTTGAACAAAAGAAAACAGCGGTATGGTAGAGACAAATACCGTTGCTGCCACGCGTTCGGGCTACTTGCCAGCTCGGTCTGCAGTACCGGCAAAAACAAATCTGCACAGAACGGACAACGATTTTGGCCATGGAAGAATCCTACGGCATTCCGTCAAGGCAATGGGCGTTCCGATTGCTCCCGAGTGATATGCACGTCCAGTCATGACCCCTGCTACCCGGTGGCTGTGGCTGTGACACGACGAGGATGGCATGCCCCGGATTTAGCAAGAAAATTACTGAAGAATGTCGCGAGTGTGCTGTGTGAATGGTGTGATTGTAGAGAGGAGTGTATACAGAAGCGACAAAACCTTATCGTCGTGGTATGCGGAGTTGTCGTCGCCAAGAGAGATACTTGGGGAAGGGACTCGCGTAAAAGTCACCAACGGGCTGGTCCATGCTTCCTTTACAGGCACACTTTGACGGCGAGAACGGATCTCCTCACAGACTGACTGTTGCGGAACCTAGACCCATCCGATAGGCTGACTATTATGTAGCCCCCCATCCTCCGCGCCCCAGGCGGGCTGTCTTCCTAATTCCTTTTCAATTGCCGACGCGTCGTTTCAGCTCATTTCAATGCAGCGATTCAGGTCGCTTATAAAAGTTACGGCTCCCGCCCAAGGCCTCCGTTCTTCAATCCAGAAACCTCCCTTCGTTCGTTATATGGCCACTGTAGCAACCGACAACATGCCTTCCGCCATTCGACCCAACATGGCCCGCCAATTGAGCACCACTTCCGGTGACTACGACCTGTCGTACACGCCCGATGTCCGCAAAACCCTGGGCACATACGGCCTCACTCCCCCTGCCGTTGAGAGCTACGACGTTCAGAGCGAGCGATGTGCGTAGATATGCCTAGAAAGAAGAAGTGAACCTTTGTTAACGTTCCCAGGCCTCAGACTCCTTGCCATGAAGCAGGCGCCCATCGAAAAGTTCCAGTACCTCGTCCACCTCAAGGCCACCAACCCACATCTTTTCTACCGTCTTCTAGGAGAGAACATCAAGGTACGAAACAACCAGAGGCACTTTGAAATCACGATTCTAACATAGCCAGGAACTCACCCCCCTCATCTACACTCCCACCGTTGGTGAAGCCTGCGTACGATGGCACGAAATCTGGACACAACCCGAGGGCATGTATCTCTCATGGAGCGACCGGGGCAACCTCCGCAAGATCCTCGACAACTGGCCACACCAGGTCGACATCACTGTCCTCACAGATGGATCCCGTATCCTGGGTCTTGGTGACCTTGGTGTCAACGGCATGGGTATTCCTGTCGGAAAGCTCGCTCTCTACACCGCCTGCGCTGGTATCAAGCCAGACAGCACCCTGCCCCTGACTCTCGATCTCGGAACCAGCAACAAGGCTCTCCGCGACGACCCTCTCTACATGGGCTCCAGGATGCCCAAGGTTACTCCCGAGCAGGAGAAGGAGTTCCTCGACGAGCTCATGGCTGCTCTTACCGACAAGTGGCCCAGGTACGTAACATCCACCTATTATCCTATTCAGGAAACTGATCGTGTGACAGCATTGTTATCCAATTCGAGGACTTCAAGAACCCTTTCCCCGCCTTGGAACGCTACCAAGACCAATACGCCATGTTCAACGACGACGTGCAGGGAACTGGTGCCGTTATTGTCGGTGGGTTCATCAACGCTGTCAAGGCGTCAGGTGTCCCCGCAAAGGACCACAAGGCCATCTTCCTCGGCGCTGGAAGCGCTGGTGTCGGTGTTGCCAAGCAAATCGTCGAGTACTTCATGAAGGAGGGTCTGACAGAGGACGAGGCCAAGCGCAAGTTCTGGTTCGTCGACTCAAACGGTCTCGTCACCCTGGACCGCGGCGACAAGCTCGCCGAGCACAAGGTCTTCTTCGCTCGCGACGACAACAACGGTCGTCAATACCAGTCACTCAGCCGCCTCATCGACTACGTACAGCCCACCATCCTGATGGGTCTGTCGACCATTGGCGGTGCCTTCAACAAGGACATCCTCGAGAAGATGGCCAAGATCAACAACCACCCCATCATCTTCCCTCTCTCCAACCCTTCAAGCAAATCCGAGTGCACATTCGAGGAGGCCGTCGTTGCTACCGAGGGACGCTGCCTCTTCGCTTCAGGCTCTCCCTTCCCCTCAATGGAGTTTGGAGGCAAGATGCTTACTCCCGGCCAAGGAAACAACATGTACGTCTTCCCTGGTATCGGACTGGGTGCCATCATCTCCAAGGCCGTCTCCGTCACACAAGACATGATCTACGCCTCTGCAGAGTCACTCTCGACTTCTCTCAACAAGCAAGAAGTCGCCGACGGCTGGCTGTACCCGGACATCCGCCGCATCCGCGAGGTTTCCGTCATTGTCACCCGTGGTGTTATCCGTGCGGCTCAGAAGAACGGTGTTGACCGTGCTACTGAGCTCCGCGGTCTCACTGACGAGCAACTCGACGCCTACATCAAGAAGAACATGTACGACCCTTACACTGAGCCCAAGTACTTCGACAAGAAGGTGTCGCAGCTTGTTGCGAGCGAGAAGCTGAATGGCACTACTGTTGGTGTGACTGAGGTCACCAACGGTGTTGCTCACTTGTAGAGCTCCTTCGATTCTTGAACATGCTTTTGGCGCTACGGTTCGTCTTTAATTGAAGATGCACCTTTCTTTGGTTCTTGTTTCGGTAACGGCCTTCATTTTAGACTGGGCACTGGGTCTCACCAAAATTACTTTTCCTTTTCTCTCGACTTGTGCTTGTGGGATGGCTGGATGGATACTCGATACCCTACTACACTTCATTCGTCTTCTCACGAGACTTGTAGTACACACTAGATACCTCCGACCTTGGTGCAAATGATTGCACTGTGGAATGAAAATGCAACATGTTATGGACAATCTTAAGATCAATCCCCCGTCTCCACTTTGCAACGGTGATGTCAAATTGTTAACGGATGGAGTATCCGTCTCACGTCAGTATTACTATGTTCTCAACAACAGTACTTGTTGAGACTACCTTTTCACTGGCGTTAAACAATACCATCTGCCATACTCAACCTCGGACGACGGCCCCCCTCATTCTCCGAAGACCTCAAAGACTACTTCCACACAAAAGTGCAGCAAGGACGATCAGCTTATCACAAAAGTCCCTTATCTCGTATCACCTCGAGATAAAAACGGGATCCCGAAATCTTTCACGCGTCCTTAATAACAGCGCCAGACTATAGTAGCACAGACCCCCCTCCCCCATACCACACCAGCCACAATGCCATGCACGACCGCCCAGCCCAGCCCCTCCCCTCCCTTCCGCTCTCATCTGCGGGATGGCCCGCTGCTAGGTTTACCTTGACCCGGGACCCACTTTCACCGGTTCTCAACAGTTTTATATGCAGCAATGGTTTGGAGCGAGCGCACGCGCATGAACCAGATCGACGAACGGGTAGGGCTGCAGGCGGTTTTTGACTCGTATGCTTTCTTCTCTCCTTTGGGTCGGTTTTTTTTTTTAGGGAGAGAAAAAAAAAGATTAACTCTGCTTCTTTACTTTTGTGGGGTCTACGTTTGGTTATCTGGATCTGGTGTATGTGTGATGTATGGTTTTGGATGGAATGGTAGGTGGCTAAAGGAACTGTTGTTGTGGTTTTATAGGTTGGATGGTTGCGCCTGATTGGGGTGATGCTGGGGATGTTAGAGAAGGCTTTTGTGGTGGTGAGGTGGAGAAGTTAGACGGGGTTGGTTTGGTGTGTTGATTAGGATAAGGCATGTTGTATGCGGCTAATGGATGATTTGCTGCAGCTTTGGGGATGTAAAGGATGGGATGGGCATATTTGTGACGGTGGTATGTTGTTTCGGTCTTTCGAAGACTTCGTCGGTTTTCGAGTGGAAAGTTCACCGAGAGCATGTTGAGATGCGTGTTGGTTTCAATATTTGACTTGTATTCTTCAAGTATATCTTTGATACCTGGGGGTTGTGGAAGCCGAAGATACAGCTAACCAAGATGCAGGTGATACTCCAAGCATGCCGTGAACGTAGTCTGGACGTTAGACGCTGATATGCGCTGCAGAACCCCCACAATGGACTCCACCATGCACATACGTTTGGTGCCATACTGCTGGCTAGGGACAGCCTCAGATCAGCTCGGCCTCCTTCAGGATGTCGTCCACCTCGTCTTCTCCAAACTCTGACTTGATACCTAGATCCTCCTGATCCTCTTCAGCCTCAGGAGTAGGCTCCTTGTTCTTCTTGGGGCGACCGCGACCCTTCTTGGGAGTAACCTCACCAGTGTTGCCCTCATCATCAGTCTTCGGCTTGCGTTTGAGTGGTGTAGCAGCCTTCTTGGTCGGAGTTCCACCAGCAGGGGTAGTGACAGCGGCAGCAATGGGTGATCCGGCCTTGAGTGCATCAATCTCTGGCTTCAGCGCGAGCTTGGTCTTGTTGATCTTCTGACGACATCCGTTCACGTTGCGGCCAGCAGGTACAGGAGCATTCTGTGTTATGTCAATCAAAAGAGCTCTACCTAGGAGTAGTACACCTGGTTTCATAGTGAATACAGGAATACTTACATTGTAGTCGAGTTGCACATTGCCAGCCTCAATGACGCTGAGGAGGTAGACGAGCTGTTCACTGTTAGTTTTGCGGTTTCGCAAGTGGATGGAAAGGAACGTACAACTTCGTGTTCAGTCCAACTCTGAGCGTTACCTTGACCAGACATGATGTGGTATTACCGAAGGAGATGTCGACTGAGCAGGAGTATTCAGATGAGGTAGAGAAAGGGTTATGGCCGTTGCAGGGTGAAGATGGAAAACAGAGGTAGAGGGAGAAAGCAGGGTGAGGAAGCGATTGACGTTTGTATCTAGAGTGGGAAATCTGCCAAGCGGGTGGAACTCACCCTCACTGTGAGTCCTCGAACGGCAAAGACGGCACGTAGTCAATGGTGCAGAGTTCACGATGCGTGGTGAAGGTGAGTACAGATTGCTAACGGAAACGCGGTAGCCATGCTCTGAAGATCAACGCCAAGTCATGTATACATCACCCTTCTATGCACATGGTATGGCCTTGGGAGTTGCCGTTCAATCTGCCACAGCACATTTATAGAAATGCATGCTACATTAGCCTACCTACATAAACCGACAATTCCATATCTGGATACTCAATGAAGGGAAACATGACAACTATAAAACTCGTAAATGACTCTCACGAAAGAATTCCTGACATTCGGGATAGCGCAATCTCCGCATTTACTAGGGCCTACGTATGTCAAAACCCACCTTCACTTGTTCACCATCAGTTCACTATCACAACAACGCTACCATATACAAACAAACATCCATCGCCATATCCCCCGCTTCCGAAAACTTCGCAACTCTTCCCACGCACACCAGTCCGCCATCCCCTTGCCATCACATACCACGGCCATACACTAGGATCCAAACAAACTACCAACATCAACACAACCTTGAAACACTATAGTCACCATGTCAGGCAACGAATGCACGAAGACTGGTTCTGGTTGGACAGACAAGGAGCGCGTATATCTTTCCCCACCCTCCCCTCCTCACCCCAAGCCTCCGCACAAAAAAGACTGACAGGAAGAAAAACAAACAAACAGCTCACCTACCTCTTCGCTCTCATCGAGAATTCCAACGTCAAGTTCGACTACAACGTACGTAGCCAATGTCCCCATTTCCCTCTCTTTCGCACACCCCCACACTCCTCTCCGTCTTGCCATAAAATCCACCAACAACTAACATGAAAACTCCAGAACACCCCACGCCCTGCGGGCCGTTCCATCATCGCCTGCCAGCGCATGATAGACCGCCTCAAGAAGGCCACGCTCAAGGACGAGCTCGAAGCTCTCACGTCGAGTGGTGATCCAGGTACCAACGACAGTACCGGTACTCCGAAGAAGAAGACTCCGACTCCTCGTAAGCGCAAGGCCAAGGGCGATGCTGCTGCTGCTGCTGCCAAGGGAGAAGCAAATGTCAAGACTCCGACTAAACGCGGTCGTAAGAAGAAGGAGGTTGAGAGGGATTTCACCGACGAAGAAATCGTTGATGGTGATCTTGATGAGGGGGAGACGATTGGTGTTAAGCCTGAGCCAAAGGAGGAAGAGCAAGTCGGCGAAGATTTCTGATTAAATCAGAGGGCTGGGTTTGATCGCGTAGTCGCATTCACAAGGATGTACTACTGATGATATCGTTGGATCTCGGGGGAGCTATGTGACCGGACATACATGTAGTCTGATCGGCGTTCGCGAGCGAAATGTGCTCTACTTTCAGAAAAGGCATGAACACAACGGGCTGCGAGATTGAACAACATCATGGAGAACACGTCGAAACATGGAGGAACAAAAAAAATACCTCAATAGCCATTAACAGAGCAAACGAGAAGAGGAGAAAAAATAAAATAAAGTTCGAATGGGTATCTAAACTATACATCGTTCAACATGCAACTTTCTCAGCCGTTTCGAAAAATCATGACGTTCGCCTACGCACACAAAGACTCTCTCCCTCTCTCCATCACCTCGAATAATCCGGTTTCGTAGCCTTGTTAACAATAGGCGGCGGACCATCTGTATCCGGATACGGCAGCGGCGCTCCAGGCGGTGGTCTCGCAAAACTGCTTCCAGCCGGCGGACTGGTCCTCAACCCGCCAGAAGACAATGGCGGCGGCGGACCATAGCCATCCTGGAAGGGCGTCTTTGGCGGCCTCGGCGGCGCATTGCTCAACCTATCGTCCCAACTCGTCGCACTACTCATCCAAGAAACCGGCCTTCCCGCTTGAAACTGCTCATCTGAGCGCCGACCCGGAGACACTAGTTCACCAGAGTGACGTGGCGGGAGGTCTGAGAAGCCATCTGTACTGGCCGACTGCGGATACTCATCATTCGACACAACGAGGAATTTGTCGTTGTCACTCGGCCGTCTTGGTTCTGCCGCGGGTCGAAATGCAGGATGGATATTAGTGTAGTATTCTGGTGCAAGTTCCTCGGCTGGTAGTTCGACGGCCATGGGCGCAGGGTCTGGGACGGTAGGGAGGGGTTTGTTGGGTGCCTGGGCGCCTGGAGAGAAAGGAGACTCGCCTTTGGCCGCGCGCTCCCAGCGGACTTTTGCGAAATGGATTCTGGCGATTTTGGCGGCGGAATCGAGGGTCATGGATTGGACGCTCTTCTCTGCAAGGTACATGCGCGTGTTTGTGCTGATTTCTGCGAGGGCGTTCCACTCATTCATTCCAAATTCCCCCACACCCACATTGACATTCAGGCGATAGTAATTTTCCGGATTGACATGTCGTTTCGCAAGGTTGTCCTTCATTTCCTTGTGTGTCTTTTCGCAGTCTTCGATCTTTTGAATGAGCTTGCGGCGGGCCTCTGCAAAGTCGCCGATGCCGCCTGACACAAAACCTTCCCACCACAGATGTTGTTGGGCGTTTGTGCCTTCGGGTCGCTTTCCCGTCCCTATGCTCACAAAGACGCCGACTTCGCGGCCGGGCCATTCGTTGCAGACGGCTTCGTCGAGGGCCATGGGGGCTGGGTTGTATTTGCCGGAACCTTCATCGAGGAAGACGGATTGTCCGACTTGGATGGGCTTGAATGCCAGGGCAGTCGCGGATGTGGCTCGGCCGGCTTGCCATATTGTGGCGTTGGGTTCGATGGCGGGTTCTTTGCGGGAATCGTAGGAGCGGAGCAGGATCTGGCCAGCGCCAGATTTCCTTGTGCCTTTGTACACGGCCGTGACGGCGCTGTCAAAGTTAGTAGACTGGAACACTGCTCATGTATGATTCACTCACGTCTTAGTGCGCTCTTCCCGGTTGTCGTATAGCAGGGCGTGAGGGTTCCCCCACTTCATGGCGGCTATGCGCATATTTACGGGCGTCATGCCAATCTGGCTGTAGTTGCTGGCATTACTAGCGCTCCTTTGCATACGGCCCGAAATAGCACTGCCCGGGGTCATGGGCGGTGCATCCTGCCCGTTGTGGTTGTCGTTGCCTTCGTCATCGTAGATGGTGTGTTCGCGCACACATTGCATGATAGCTTCCTCTAGCTTGGACGCCTTGAACAATGTAGATCGATATGGTATGCCGGCAAACGTCTTGTCCGTCTCAAATACTCTTCTCGTCATGCGCACATATACGTCTTTGCACGTCTCTACATCCATTCTCAGTCTACCCAGCATTATGGCAATCAGACCTCCGGTGCCGGTTCCTACAATGAGATCGAAATGTTCACATGGCTTTGGTACTTCGTGCCGTTTTGGGGCTCGGCCTTCGGTCTCGACAAAAGTTCGGTGCATCAATTCTTGGAGGATTATCAGCATGGAGTACCCCCGCACGCCTCCGCCGTCTGTCACATGGGTTAGCACCTGCCATACTGGAGCCTTGCATCATAACCTACCTAGCGACAGAATGCGCAGCGGCGGCCCTTTGGTTGTGTCCTTCCGACGCACCCCGTTGAGTGCCATGTTTGGGGTAATATGCGCTGGTTGTGTTGGGTATCACAGGTTCTAGGCGGTTCTGCCTGGCACGGCGCGTATACGTCTTCGCTGCGTTGTATGGATAGAGTCAGGCTGTCGGGTCCGCTGCCTCCCAGTATTTCAGGCCGTGGGCTGGCGTGGGCTGATTGCGCGGCTGAGGATTTGTCTGGAATCGTCGTGTTGTTGGTGTACTAAGCAGTAAAGCGTGGCTGAGAGGAATCCAAGCCTGGGCGCGCGCGCTTGAAAGCGCTCAAGAATGTCGTTGTGAGGTCGGCTGCTCGGTGCGCGAGCAGAAGGGCATAGGGTACAGTCACAGGAGAGACAGGCGATGAGTAAGAGGAGTTCACGTGGAGGAGTTAAGAAGATTCTTTGACTCTTGCCGGTCATGGCCAGCAGCCCAAGTTGGTTCACAGCGTCGTCACTCGTCATTCGTCACTCGCCAAGCACCAGCCATAAGCCGAACTGCACCGCCACCTCGGCTCCGCTCTTTAGCCCACCAAAACCTGGTTTATCCTGGCACGCCGCACGCCGTCAGAGCCCAAAGATCTTCCGTCTCTACCGGTTTTACGACAAAAGATCTTCATGCCCTTGCAGCGGCAATGCCATGGCCCGCCTGCTAGAAGGAACCTCCCTCCACAACGTCGACGCGAACGAGTGACTGTCCAATCGCCAACTCTGCGGCCCTGCTTCGGATGGCCATCCTTCCATGATACGTCGCCTTCTCCGATCGAATAACGATGTGAACTACATTTTGATCGCGATGAGAGAAAATGCCTCGCTTTGTCATGATTGATCTATTGTGCCTATTCGTTAGCATCTCGCCGAGCTGCTGCAACACCAATCTGGTACATCGAGTCCATCGTAGACCTGCACGCTTACATGTTATGATATCGTACGATGCTTCGTGAGGGTGTCTATCCGGCTTCCACGTGACATCGAAGGGAGCCAGCTGCCAAGGTAACCATGCAGGACCTCTACGCCACTAACATGCCATACGAGAGAAAAGCTGAACAGGTGCAGGGACAATAAGCCCTACCTAGTATCTTGCAGTCCACATAAGCTTACAACAGATCAACAACACTGTAGGCTGCTATTTTTCTCATCTATGCATAGATACACTACTCTTGAAACACTTCGTTCAAGTAGGCAACAATGCCTGCACAGTGTCATGAGATGGACGAAAAGTCTCAATCACAACTTTTAGCTCACAGGCATGATAGCGTGCTCGATGATAGCATCCGTCGAGCCAGCAGTAAACACGGAATGTGAGGTTCACAAATTTCTGCGGAAAGACGTCGGGCCGCTTGTGTAACACGAGCTGTCTTGTTGAAATGGTAGTACGGGAGACAGCGCGCTTTCCCAGTCAGGCGGCGTGTAGCAAATAGATAACTTCTGGTTAAAACTGCGACTTCCTTGTCGTTCATACTGATAATACGTTCTTTGTATATTCGTGCTCTCATTGGTGGACGGCAGCTGCTGCCTAATCGTGTTCGTTTCAACTACTTCACGTTCTTTGTACTTCGATTATGAACCAAGTCAAGTCAATCTTCACATCGAGATGGCCAGCAGCTCGCTCTTCCTGAGCATGCTGCCGGCTGAGATCCGCAACACCATCTACGAGCTCGCTCTCACCGCCCCAGAACCTCTCCGTTGCTTCGATCCGGTCCTCTGGGACGAGTACAACCCTACTAATAAGAGGCATTATCTCTACCTCCGTGCGACACCTACCGACGCGCTTGACGAACTTGCGTTTGAATTTGACACTGTCGAGTACAACCAGCTCAAGTATGTCAGCAAGGAAGTTTACGCTAAGACCGTTGGCTTGGAGCTTAAATACAACGAAATCACATTGCGTGTCTCCAGAAAGAGCGAGTACGCGACGTCTTTCCTATTGCTGAATCGATGGCTATCATCGATACCCGTCACGAAAAGGTCGTGGATCAAGACAATCAACATCACGATAGAGACCAAGAGCCGTTATGTAGAAGCTGGGCCAGAGGGCGTGGATACCCTTGCTTGTCTTACAAGGCTATGCAACGACAACCCCTCGATGAGAGTCAAGTACTACTTACCCATGTGGCGCACCAAAGTTCCAACATTTCACAACTCGGACCTTTCAAAACGTCATCCGATCTGGACTGCTCCGACTGTTAGCGACTTTATTACACATGCTGTAGATGTCTACTCGTACACGCGCGGCGAAGGGTTTGAAAAGCTGTATCCCGAAATCGATACGAAGTCAACGCGTACTAGGCAGAACTGGAGGCCGTATCGCTGGCTACGTTTGGATCAACTCGTGCATCTGGCAGATTTGCAAGCTAAAAACTTGACGTACTTTCCTAGTGTTCCTAAAGGCACTGAGCTACCCATCATCAAGAAGGATATCACATGGGCGGCGCACAGCGAGGTCGTGCCAGAGGCAGAGCAATGGATCGGCTACAAGTACGCGAAGGATTGGGTCGAGAATGGCATATAGAGCGGGGGTCGGAGCCATGGAGGGAACATGGCCAACAACACCTGGAAAAACTGTTCTCCTCATATGGAATGCGAGTACGAACATATAACATGCCGGTGGAAAGAGCTGGTCGATTATTCTCAAAGAAGGAGGATCAAGGCAGGTGATTTTCTAAGCAAGGTTGACTACGGCAATTTAACTCATTTGGACCATACCGCTGATGTGCCAGTACATAGGGTATCTTGGATGGATATACTCTATACTCAACTATCGAAGCATATAAGGAAGGACAGCTTCCTTCCAAAGGAGGGCATCGGATTTCCTACTCTCTTTACTCATATCTACCGTACATAGAACTTGAAATCAGACATGTCTTACTAAAACTTCATTGTCTTTGTTAACCACGACTACTGAACGAAACATCTTCGCTGCTTAGAAAGCACGTCTCTATATACTCTAACACTTTTAGACTGGTGGGCACTAAAAAGGTATCAGCGGAGTAATACGTGTCTTCGACCATCACAACCTTCTCCCATGTTCGCACTGTGATTCTTGATAATGCAACGGATGCTCTATGATTAGTGAGATGACATGACAAGTTGCCAACATCATCTACGTGATGTCCATAGTCGCAACACCACCTCCCACCCTCCAAACCACTCTACTTCTTCCCCGGCACCTCAACCAATCCTCTCTTCTCCTTGATCCTCCACTGAATCGCCTTGGCAAGGTAATACAGCACTTCCAACGTCGGCATACTAACCCCAGCATTCCTCCCCGCCCTCAACGGCTCCCCCAGCAAATTCTCATACTCGAGGAAATTGCCCTTTTCCAAATCCTGCTGCATACTAGGCTTCAACCAGCTCTCCAACGGATCAACATGAATCGTCTCCTCCACAACCCCTGGATCCAAGTCCACACCGCAGACCGCCTTGGCCGCAGCAACGATTTCGCGCATGGCTGGTCGCACGAGGCCGTCGAGTGCGCCGTCCGCCAGGCGCAGCCGTCCGTCGTCCAGGCCCGTAATGGCGCAGATTGGATTCAAACAGGCGTTGAAGACCAATTTCTTCCACCGGTCGTGCAGGACGTTGGGCGAGTAGGTGCACTTTGTTTTGCCGCCTGCCGAGTACATGTGCACGAATTCTTCGGCGCGTCGTTCGGGCACAGCGGGGTTGATGTTTGATGTGGGAAAGGCGCCGATTAACAGTTTATCGCCTTCATCTTGGATCTAGAAAAAAAAAGTTTGGTCAGGGCGCGTAATCAGTAAATATATACACATACAGACTTATCACCTTCCAGACCAATACAGAAAGAAAAGAAAAAGGAAACAGGGATAAATACTTACAATAGTACCAGGCATAGTTTCCGCACTGCCAATCATGGAAATACCGCTTAGGATACAAACATTGGGATGAGGACGCAGAAACGGTTTCTCGATATTCAACCCGTTTTGCAAGAGTATCAAGGTAGTCTTGCTCGCATTGCTGCCAGTGGGGAGAGCAGGGCTGATTAGGTCGATGGCCGTGGGAAGGATATCCGGCATGTTCTTGGTGCAAAGCATCACATAATCGAATGGCTGCTGCTCGATACCTTCCCCAACGAGATCGGGAATACTGTTACGGACTTTGTTTCAAAAAACAATGGTTTACATGTTAGCTTGCCTTTTTCCTCATGCCATATTACAGACGCATAAGCCACATTCAGTTTGAATATTGAGCCGCCCCCAAAAGTCGTCCAAGTATAGAAGAGTGAGGTTGCCAAACATACCGACACTGGGTCTCCATCCCTTCAAGTTTCCATGATCGCAGCTGGAGATTGTGTATCCGTGTTCTTTGACGACGTCGTAGTTGGAGCGTAGGACGAGGGTTACCGTAGCCAGACCACCGGCTTCGAGGTTGACGGCTGCGATTGCACCGACAGCGCCACCGCCAACGATTAGCACGCTCTTCTTGTTGGAATCAGCCATTGTGTAGATTTGGTCTAAGAGATGGTCATACTCACGTTACATATACAAGTGGCGTCTATGGCGTTGACAAGATAGGGCGCGACTGACGCGTTAGTGGGGGTGGAGGGGCAACCACGACTTGGAAACATGATTCCGTCGGAATCGAGCCGCATCGTTGTACCTGCTACAACATCTGGGAATCATCACTTGACAATCACGACTGGAATCAGCAAAGCAGCTATGTTGCGGTCCCTTCAATCGAGCTCCATTTGATGCATATGTAGGTTACAGTCCGTAAATTCGTGGCTGGTGACCTTTTGTCGCCAAATCTTCCACCGCCTCACACGCCTTCATTTCTTTATCGCACTGATGGTTTGATGCATTGCTTGAGTCGAAGGTAGAGCCGTTCCATTCCATCCGCCCGAAGACTACGCCGAGAGCCCAGCAAAAGAGAGAGAAAGAAGATGCACGCTTAGAAGACGAGAGCGGCACCCTTGGTCTTCTTGTCACCACCAAGCTCGAAGTGCTTGCATCGCTTGAGGGCGAGCTGCGGTGCGTTAGTATTTGTGAGCTAGTGGGAGGTGAGTGCAGCATACCTGTGCCTTGGTCTTGCACTGTGTGCACTCTAGACGGAGAACGACCTTCTTGGTGGTCTTCGCCCTCTGTTTGGTTGTTAGTCGCCCGTTTCTTCATCCCGGATGCGTGCGATCATACCTTGTGGAAGACGGGCTTGGTCTGACCTCCGTAACCGGATTGCTTGCGGTCATAACGACGCTTACCCTGCGCGAACAGCGAAGCCTTGCCAGCCTTGTACTCTACACAGTCTCAGTATACAGGTGGTGCGAATGCGTGGACGTGCATCACGTACGGGTGACCTTGTGCTGGGTGTGCTTCTTGCAGTCCTTGCCCTTGCAGTAGGTTCGGCGGGTCTTGGGAACGTTGACCTGGGGGTGGAAGTCAGCGTCCGTGATCAATGCCTTGAAGCTCCCCGTTTCCTTTGCTAGCGACGAATGCGGGACGAGCGAGCGAAAAAGACGATGGCGAAGAATCGGTAACGCGAGGATGCGATGGTGTAAGTCCTGGAAAGACAATGCCGCCATGAATTATACGAGCGCAATCCTGCGCCTTTGCGGATGTTTCGTAGTGCGACGTAAGATATATGAGCGCATGATGGTTTGCTGGTGGAGTCGCCGCCCTTCTACTCCAAGGCCCTCGCGTCTCCCTTATACCAGCAACAAGAGACATTATCCAGCCCAGCCGTCGTAGCATCAGATGTCTCCCGCCGTGTCCCGTTCTGATAAGGTATCGTCGGTACAATGTCGTGGGGTCGGAGGTTTCGCCTCGCCATCGTCATCGATTCGTGAATTCGCTTGCTCGTCGCTCGTCGCACATGTCGTGTCCTTCGCAATATTCCCGGCAGCAAAGATATCACTCACCATTTTGACGGATTTTGCTCTGTGGTTAGTATGAGCGAAAAGTTGGCGGTGTTGCTGGAGGTGTTGAGGTCGCTGCGCCGATATTGCTAGCGTTGTGTGGGCTTCGGCTAGGTTAGTAAGCCGACGCCACACTACACCAGCCACAGCCAAGACAAAGGAGAGGCACATTGCGAACATCGGGTCCTTCGTCATCATGAGTTGATCGGGAAAGAATTCATTGTGGTATCATGCGTGCTAAGTAAAATGCAGATCGCTCGCCATATACCATGTCTGATCATGAACCCGGTAAAACAAATGGAAGCTCAAACGTGAAGACTAGTAAATCGGATGTCCCTCTTCCCACTTCTGGACCTCTGTATCTCGAGATGCAGATGGAGGGCTGCTACCCATGCCAAGACTGAACCTGCTGCTCTCACCTTTCGCAGGTGTTCTTCCATCGTCGATCCGCTTCACAGGACCGACCCATTCCCACATGCGAGCAACGTCGCCGCTAGCTGTTGTTCGGACACCTGCGCGGATGTTGCTGTTCTTCTCAACCTTTGCCTGTACCCTCGTCCACAGCTTCTGTCGTCGCTTTGCATTAAACTCTGTCCTCAAGACATCGTCCCGCAGTTGTGTCATACTGATGCCCTTCTCAGCGCCTGAGTCGTAGTAGCCCAACGCGGCTTGGTCCTGGAGTCTGTCATACGCGTCGCTTGCTAGCTGCTTGGCCCGAACTTCCATCGCCCGGTTACTAGTATATGAATACTTTCCGTATGAGCCAGTGGCAATGAGGAAGAGTATTGTTACAATTTGGAGAAGATGTCGTTCAAAGGATTGTCGGAGGGATCTTCGGACGCTACAGGAGAGGGAGAGCTTGGCGAGGGAGGTGGATGCGAGACGGCGTGCGCCTGTTGTTCTGTGTTCAAGGAAGAGTAACTGATTAGTACAATTCCACGTCAGAAATGCTGTACAAGTGATGGGACTAGCAAGGAGAGTACTTACCCGTCGGTGCTCTCGATTATTTCTTCCCGCATAACCAGCTCAGGAAAGGCTCTGTCGAACAGCTCACTGAATTCCTGATCCGTCAAGCTCTTGCTCTTCTGAGATGCCATCTGTTGTTTTAAATCCACCTCGCTCACTTCAGGGCTTTCCACTAGGTTTCCTGCTGCATCAGGCTCTCCGCACTCGTATTGGGCCTTGCGTTGGCGAAGTATCTCAGTTGCCTTGTTCGCGATACCGTTCACTTTGCGTGTCTTCTCACTGTCCGGTTCGCAGGTCGGTGGTAAAGGAATCAAGCCACCGAGGGACAGCGGATGATCCTTCATGATGAAATCAGGATCGCACCTGAGAGTCAATCCGCGGAAGCACTGCGCGTGTGGTGGACAAGGCTCGCATTGTGGGAGGATTTGGTCCGCCCAGCTTGGTATTTCCACACCAGCAAGTCCGATGGCATCTCGTCCAACGCCGCAGAAGCCGACTTCGATCTTTTCCTGCCGCCATACGCCAGCGAAGGCGGCCGAAGCTGTGAGAAGAAGAGTGCCGGCCATTGCTTTGATTGTTCCAGTTTTTTTGCCTTTCTGCCTACGTCTCCGAGGAGGCAAAATGTCCACTTCACCAGCCCTTGCCCGCTCGCGCACTAGATCAAGCTGCTCCTCTGGCGTGAACTCTTCGCCAGCATCTGCGAGATCATCCTCCTGCTGCTTCACACGCGGGTCTGCCACGTCGAATGTCCCGCGAGTGGGTACCATAACGCCGTCGTCTTGTTGCTCAGTCTTGGGTTGAAAGGTCCTCCGGCGATGCGCGTCGCTCTTGCGCCTCTCCTGAGCATATCCTGTAGTGCGCCTACGACGGTCGCGCGATATCGTGTCTGGCACTGCAGGAGAGCTCCCACTCTGAAAGGGGTTCTCCTGGGTGAAGGGACTGGCAGCGTCGTTGCGATGCCACGCTTCCGGCTCGGGCGTGGGTTCCTTGGGCGCAGGAGTGGCGCTTTTGCGTATGCGTCTAGTCGCGGGTCGCTCATCTACCTCAGGTTCAAGCGCTCTGCTGTGTTTGGCAGGAACAGCCCGCGAGGGTGTCTTGGCGCGTGGTGCCGGTACATCTGCTTCCTCTGTCGGTTCGCGGGTTGTTCGTCGGGTTGTGCGTCGTGTAGTCGCAGGTGTAGGTACTACAAGCGTCTCATCTTCGGCATCGTCTGTCTCTACTGTGCTGGCTGAACTGGAGGGAACATCTACGATGCCCCGCGTCGATCGCTTTGTGCGTGCCTGCGCCCGTTGGACCTGTGCTTTCTGGGGAAGAACGAGGTCGACGAACATGCCAACCAGAGCGGGCTTCTTTGCCGAGGAAGGGTATTGAACGCCATGTCGGAGTAAGATGCTCCTCAGTTCCGGGACCGTTATCTTGTTTGGATCCACGCCATCTTCGTAATACCAATACTCTCCGCGCGCATCAGCCATGTCGGTGTCGTGGTGGGGTAGTTGAGGTGAGTCGACGATTCAGCGGGGGTTGCGACCGAGAAAGTTGCAGGGCGGAAGTGAGACAGGCGTGGGTTGGCTCGTGTGGTCGCGGTGATGAGCGATAGGTGGAGTTGGAAAGTCTGCGCAGCTTGTTTGTGATGTCACCGAGGCAACTGCGGGCCCGTGCGCCGGATGCGTCTGCTTTCATCTGAGCTCTTTCATTCACTCCCAGTCACACATCTATAATCAGGATCGAAATATGAAACACTATAACCAAAAAAAAAATACAACGTCAAGGCTTCTGTGAGGGAGTCGGTTTTATTAATTCTATTCTTCAAAGTTCCTCGCACGCCTGATCTACCATACGGCACGATGCAGTATATGAACTTTCTTTACCAACGAGAGAGCAGAGGCAACATCGTCGTTGAGAAGTGGCGATGGTTGCTGGCTGCACTGGACATGTAGCGTATCTCCACATCTTATCATCTGTCATTGCACTTGATAAGATCTTCAGATTTCCTCTTCCACCCAGCGCCTGAACAATGCTGCCCATAGTTTGAATCTGAGCTCCCATTCGACTGGAGTCAAGCCGGATGATCGCGGTGTTGTGACAATATCCGGGTTAGGAAAGAATCTGATCCTGTCCCACAGTCTCTTCACTTTTAACGGCGCTTCCCTCACAACCCGAAGAGCACGGAGCTTCTCTGCTATACTCATTCTGCGTTCGTATGATTCCTTCATTACTGGTACTACTGCTGTTGTTGTTGGCCACATGTCCTCTAGAGCGTCGCCACGTATGACGCTAGACACCACGATGCCATGCGTGAAGATAGAGATGTCAGTAGCTTCGTCGCCCAACTTGTTGAGCAGGTTCGCTCTGCAGAAGTGGTGCATGTTGTACTTCACTCGTAGCGATGGACTGTTTATCAAGACTTTGGTTAAGTAGGCCATCGTGCTCGCCATCTCTTGCTGTTCTAGCCAATTTTCGTGGTCCACAGCGGTAATTTTGTTGGAGAGTGTTAGACTCGTGATCCACGAAAGTCTCTTGGGACCGAGCGAGCAAGTCAGGTCAAGAAATATCATCTTTGCTTTTGATGGGTGTTTTTCGTCCCGTAAACTCCTAAGTGAGGACTCAACCATATGGCCATCGATCCTCACAGGGTTGTGTTTGAATTCGAGCAGCCGAGTCTCTCTGTAAAGTTGGCGACAGGTCATTTGCAACTGGTTAATGCGTCTATCGTTGGATGTCAGACTAAAATCGATATAACCCTGGGGACTAGTTGATAGTGCAAGGGCATAGATGTCGTTGCGTATTCCTCCTGGTAAGCTTAGCAGGGGCGATGGGGTTAATGGTGCGGTTTTTAGAGACGTCATGGTCGTGAGAATTTAGTCATCGAAATCACTGAGTTTGAGACTGCGTGTAATTGCGGTGTTGAGAGGGAATTTTTAGCAACTCAAGAGCCGCTCCCTGTATTATAAGCTCGGGAATGAGAGTACAGGAGCACATAATTTCATTGTGGTTGAATTGCGTGGTTGTACAGGCTTGTGAATGACAGTGCGTTTTCCACATCACTTACAATGTGTTGACGCTCAGTGGGGGTAATTGACTTTCGGACCATAAACAAATTCCGCACCCCACTCAGCTACGCGGATATCAAACGTTGCAGAATATATATTTTACTTTTGTCTAGCTCTTCATCAGCGAATCAGCATGCGATTACAAATCGGGCTTGTGGTTTAGTGGTATAATACTCCCTTAGCATGGGAGTGGTCCAGGGTTCGATTCCCTGCAAGTCCATCTTTTTGCGTTTCCAGCCTTGTAGGGACAATCCAGGCACGGATCAGCGAAGTTCTGTAGTCTTTTTTTGGGGAGCGCACGAACACTGAGATTAGCGGATGTGTGCGACCTATTGATCGTAATCCTGTTCTACAAACTACCATGTTCAGGTCATTTAGAGTGATGTTGGTGTATGCATGCATTGTCAAAAGAATGCACTTTCTGCACCGCATGTCGAGTTGAACTCACACAAAGACATTTCCATCTCCTCGCGTACACCATAAGAACCCGCATATCTATTTCAAGAGAGCTTGACGAATTTGCTTTGTTTTGTAGATACATCCGATAGGGAGAAGACGCACTTGCCGTTTCGAAAAAGCAACGACAGTAATAACAACGTACAGAACTACCAATGGCGATCTCACTACCTATGTGATAATTACATCTGAGTGAGCATCTTCATGCATCGTCACACCGGAAGGTTGGTCAAGGATGAAGCTGGCAACGCCACGATGCATCTCCGTTTTGTCACTCAGTCTTGGCGTCACCGGCTCTGCATTGATATCCCACAGCACTAGACCCCACATGACCGCATGCTGCAATGTCTGAAGACCATTCTTTTGATCTCCTGATGCGGCTTCCAAGGCGAGTTCCAAGACTGTCTCGCGGAGCAACATAAGCACTGCCCTTTTGGTGTTGCGTTCGAGCGATTCTCGTAAAACCTCAATAGTGATATTGTCAGCCACGTAGACGTCGCGTTGAGATGATGTGTATTTGCGTATACTCGAACAAAGATATTGCCAGGCGGTGAGATAAGCTTCACGCTCACGGAAGATCTCAATTGCTTCTTCTGTAGAGCGGCTGATGAGGTTGTCGACAAGGTTCAGCACCTCATCTTGGACTGCTGTACTAGGGCGCGGGTGTACAGCCTCGGAAGCCCAATCAGTAACCACGCTGGTCAATCTCTCTTCAAATTCACCGGCGCTGTCTGTCTTCTGCCGTTTTTGTGGCGGTACAAACTCCTGGCCGATAGCATATTGTGCCCAATTGTCACTATCTTCTTTGGTATATTCGAGTTTGAATTCATCGGCGATTGCGTCTTTTCCCTTTCGTATTTCTTCGCCATACATCCTATCGAGTCTGGAGAGGTTATCGTCGCTGACTCTTCGCAGGACCTCAAGTGACATGCGTCTCTTCGGATTGTACCGTAGACAGCGCGAGATGACTTGGCACAGGCACACACTGTATTCTTCGGGAATCTCTTCTAACGTTTGTGGGAAAATACTATCTTTGCTTCTAACAGTTCCATCCCTCAGATCATCAACGTGGTCTGGATCCTTGGGTCGCTCTTTGACATTCTCGTAAAAGCTTTCCTCTTTGTGGGCCATCATTGATGCCCACGCGGTCATAGCTAGACTCCAAATGTCTGACTTCTCCGAGACAGGCCACTTATCTGGTGTCCAAGGATTTTCATCCAATCCAGCACCATCTCGTTCCTAATCGAGGTTAGCATCGTTTCGATATTTCCAGCAGCCCACTTACTGGAGGCATCAATCCCGGCGTGCCTTGGAACATCCTTCTTTGCATCTCACGTTCGTCGTCTAGTTCAAAAGCGATGTCAAAATCAGATAAAACAACTCTTGGATAAGCGGGGTATTGAGTGTTATCAGATCGCAGGAATATGTTGGCATCTTTGATATCGGAATGAATGATTGGCCGCCACGCCACCGAGGTAGCATCTGAACCTACGTCTTCTCCAGATCCAATAGGTGACTTATGATCCTGATTCTGGTCTTCGAGATTCGGTGTTGAGCAAACACCCTGTTGCAATGCAATCAGCGCCTTGGACATCTGACTGAGTAGATACCAGATGAAATGCTCGGGTACAGGTTTCTTTTTGGGAGTGAGTTTATGCCCGTTGTAGATGCGTGCAAGAGTTCCAAGTTCGGCAAAAGACGAGTATATATTGAAGACAGTCAGCACCGGTTCTTCGTCGTTGCTGCGACCATGAATCTTCCTAGTGCAAGATCTTCTGGTGCTACCGCGTTGTGGTATCATATGCGAACAATTGAGTTGGCTGATGCGCTGGTTCATCCGAATCTCGTGCTTCGCGTCGTTGAACTCTTTCGCATCCAGTGCCTCTAGACATTTGACTGTGATTTGCTAAGAACGATGAGTAAGGCCTTCCAAATGCACCTACACTATTAGACTCACATCTTCAACTACCCCAGCATCACTCGTCCGAACATAAAGGGAAACTGACTTGCGAGGCATTGTCCCCTTCTCAAACCGTCGCTTATCCGCCCCGCTTCCGTCAAGTCTAGTTTGATAGAGAGTCATCGCAAACTTCCAATTACCGTCCTGATGATTGTAGGCTTCACGTCGCTGCCCCGCCGTAGGAGCTAAGAATCGCTTTCCTTCGGGGCTATTTCGAATATAGAATGGAGGCGAGCGCTCTCCACTTGAAGTTTCTGATATAGCTGTAGGCGTGTCTACACCATCTCCTTCCGGTGCGTCTCCAGTTGCACCCGACTCTTGCGATTGTTGTTGCGCTACCTGTGCGTGATCTACTGAAGCCACTGGAGCTTGCAAGGCCATTGGTGGAGCAATGGATGGTGGAATTGGGAGTGGTCTGACTGCCGTCGCCGCAGGTTGGCCAGTGTATACCTTCTTTCTCCAATAGTTTTGCTTGACTCTCCATTGATTCACAACCTTCCTTCCGCGACTGCCTCGGGGAACTATGAAGGTGAGCCACATACTCCGAATCTACTTGTTGCTATATACATACATTCTCTGCCTCTCTTTCTGATAAGATACCGCATCATCGCGAGAAATGCGTTCTTCGTCTGGTTGTCGAGGAGGCCATCGTAAAGGTTTGCATCATCGTCATCTATACTTTCATACGTTTCGATACCTCCAATATTGACAACGCGAGGATCAGGATTGTTCGCCATAGTGCTTGAATTGTCGTGATCGCTAGGTGGGGCTATGCGATGGGCTGCAAGGTCGACTGCCTGACTCTATACATATATGAACTCGCTGTGACATTGCAAAGCAGCATCAAGGCGTTTTGTATCGCTTTGTTGATCGTCTTTGGGTGTTGTTCAATGAAATAACAATAAAAATGGAGATACCGAGACAAGAACGAACAATGTGGGGCGTGCTGAGTAAGGCGCTTTGTTGCAGCGGATTAAACTCGACTTCGAGCTAACCACTTTCCACAATATTCTGCAAGACCGTGCGCTGTCCTCTGAATATCTGGACAGTACGTCAGAAAGTCACAAAACAGCAGCACATGGACGCAGTACAGTAGTGCAGCTGCTGTTGAACATAGACTGGCTTATCTCACTTCCCACCTCATTGGATTATGATAAGCCCGCAATTGTGTTCAATTTTGAATAGCGAGTGTGTTCTATCCCATATCTCTCATCGCACGACAAAGCCGCCAGACGATAACAAGACTCCTTGTTCACATTGCGACCAATGTGTTTTTGGATCACTACTGATCACACTCATACTGAGTACCGCAGTCGGTGCAATTGCCGTTGTGGATTTCACAACAGATCGCGCTATGAGAAGGTTGTTAGTAACATTTTGGATACCTAGAGGGCTACTTCGACCGCGGAGTTGGAGCTAATCTCACCAATTGATCTGGCAACCGCTAAGACAGCCCATACTGGTGCAGCCTCCACATCCTGAGTTACATGCCTGGAAGCAACCAGCGCGCTTCTCGAGAGCACGACGATCCATCATCACGTCTCTAGTCAAGAGAGACGTTATACCACGAGGCATAGCAGACATATCGCGAGGAAGGAGGTCGGCATTGATCAGAGGTCCGGGAGTAGCCGCCGCAGTAGTGGAGAGGATGAGACTGAGAGCAGCCGAAATGGTAGTGAGGTACTTCATATTGATATTGGAAGTCTGGTGATCGTGAAGTGAAGATCATGATATGATTGCTCGGAAGGTTTTGGTACTCCAAACGTAGCCAGCACCCACCTTCTTATATGATCTTCTTGTGATCAAGACCATACCTGCTCTACCTAAGACGCGCTTCTGGTCACTACCAATGTCTGCCTGGTAGCTTGGAAGCGTTGCTGATGAGCATGTTGATTTACTTGGTATTGTTGGCCAAGCCCCAGGGAGAGCAAATGAACGCTTGGAGTTGGGTGACCGGATCGAAAGAGAATGCAAGATAGATTGCATGATTGTATATAATGAGCGATATGTCAGTGAGGAGCGCTTGGTATTCCGTTCCGAGTGAGACAGTTTCAGGCGTTTCAAGCGATCGCTCGGCTATCGCTCTTACTGGAAAGGAAGTTTTAGTCTAGCGAGGCAGTTCAGCTCTAACAATGACCGAATGCACGGCGGAACGGGCCTTCCACTGCTGTTTTAACTCAATCATACCCTTTTGACGAATGGAAGGAAACTACGATGAGTTGGATGTGTGTATTCCAGGTCTAACCTGAGGGTGGCCTTGCCAAGCTGGTTCTCAACGCAGACACGAACTTACGCTTTGCTAAGCTTATACGATCCAGCCAACGCTGAACGCTTGCTCATAGTGAGAATCTTGGCAATGGCGTGGGATGATAGCACTACCAGTTAAGGGCCACCAGGCTTGTCCAATCTCTCCTACGATGCTGTACCCTTGTATGCAATATGGGGACCTCAACAGCTAGGTCTAGTAGCAGAATAGAATTCATAATCGGAGGTTGGCTTAGACCTTTGGATCAATGTCGCGGTGACAGGCCGGTCCTAAATACACGACGAGCTGGGAGCTGGGTCGAAGAGTTGAGCAAGATTTGCGATGTCCTAAACAAGGAGAGGAGGCTCGATGATAGAACAGCGAAGATGTACAGAGTGTCGTCGCCAGTTATGACAGGTTTGCGTGCTCTAAACAACAATCATTTGCATACCGAAATGGACCTGCGTGATTACAATGACGGGCCGAACAAAGACAATGAGATGGTAATGTAGCTGACGGGGATGAGCACTTAGGTAGTAAGACGTTACCCGTAAGGAACGGCTGTCGGTGAGACGCTAATACGGCATATGAGGAGGTGAGAGGGGGTTTCCTCCGATGCGGGGTATCTGCCTAGCCCAGCGATGGTATCTTGGCGGTCGCGCTAACACGTGCCTTCTCATTAGAAATTATGTCTGAAGATCCTCCCCACCTCCTAAGCATTTCTGAAACATGGTTATTACGGGTCAACATGGCAGTATGCGATCGTTCAGGATATATCAAAACAGCTCTTCTATTGTAAACTAAGGCTACCTCAGCGCGAGCGAACTGTTAAAACCACGAAGCCGGATGTCCCTCATGTCTACGAGACGAACTTCCGTTGAGCAAAGTTCGATACCCTAGACGACCTGGGTCTGCTGAATATGCGGCTCCTTCTCATCATCACCAGAGCCGTGGAGGCGTTCCTTAGCGGCTTGCCTCGCGATAGCATCCATATCCACTGGAGCAACAGCGGCCGGACCATCGAAGATGCGGGCAATCTCCTCGAGTGTAGGACCCTTAGTCTCGGGGTAGACGAAGTAAACAAATACAAGCTCGACAGTGATCCAGAGAGTGTAGAAGAGAGCCAGATTCCAATGCTTGGGAAGGTTGTCCCACGCAACAGGGTTGGTCTGACCACCGACTGCAAGAATAGCCTGAACAGTGATGTTCATGATCATGAGACCTTTGGCACGAAGGGCGTAGGGCAAGATCTCCAGAGCGTATGCGACGAGTAGACCAGACCAAGCAAAAGCATAGAAAACACCAAAGATCCACACGAATGGAATCTGAGCGTAGCCAGCTGCGGAGTTGGTGTCGCCAGAGTTCTCGTAGACAGCGCAGGTGACGGTCCAGCAGATGAACGAAATAACCATACCGGTGGTGGCACCGAGGAAAAGTGGACGGCGACCAACTTTGTCGATCAAGGTAGCGGCGTAGACTGAGACACAAAGAGCCAAGATACGCTCACCACCAGTAAGCTGAACAAGACGTTAGTACGGATTTCTGTACATCGATTCAGGTAAACCTACACCCATCTTTTGGTTCTCGCTAGTGATTCCGGCGCCTTCGTAAACCAAGTTGATGTAGTTGGAGAAGAGCGCGTTGCCGGAGTATTGAGAGATGATACCGAGGGAGATAAGAATCGCCAACCTCCACCGGTTCCCCTTTGTCTTGACAAAGTCTACGTAGCTAGAGTTCTTGTTCGCATCGGCTTCCAAACGGATGACCTCTCTCATCTCAATGTATTCGAACTGAACGGTTGCATTGTTCTCAGAGTTGCTATCAGTCAATCAGTCAGTTGTCAGTTCATCTTTGCGGTTCAAACTGTCAGTCTGGAGGTAGTGAACTGACCTGATTGACTGCCAAGACATTTTTTAGAATCGCGAACTGAGACTG